CGGTTGTACGCAGGAAGCCGATGGTGGGGGGGCGTCGGGGACCCCGGGACGCCCTTACCTGTCGGTTGTACGCAGGAAGCCGATGGTGGGGGGGCGTCGGGGACCCCGGGACGCCCTTACCTGTTGCTTGTACGCAGGAAGCCGATGGTGGGGGGACGTCGGGGACCCCTCCTGCGTTTCCGCGGCTCTAGTCTTCTTCCCCTCATTTTTTCTAAAACAGCTCTTGCTTAATATTAGTTTATCAACAAATACATGTCGGGTGCCCGTGTGGCAGACGCAGTGGGCTCTTCACTCACGTTGTTACCCTCAAAACAAGGTTGGACGTGGTCACATTCCTGACTTAGGGTGCAGAAGTAGGCACAGGTCAGTTACATAATCTGCCCCTAGTTATAGCTGAGTCAGGAGAATCCACTCATTAGCTGAGGTCTGGCTGATCCCATAGTTCCTTCCTTTTTGACCAGACTGCACAGTTCCTGCTGTCTGAAGACTTTAGGGAGCTCCTTGGTGTAGCAGAGGAGAGGGGTGCTCGCCCTGTCACCCTAAGCCACAGCTCAGGCCCCTCCCCAGCTGCGCCTCCCTGCGCTCCAAGAGCCGCTCCTTTGTCAGTCTTGCTAGTCCCAGAATGAGCCGTAGACTTTTCTGCCTTTGTACCGTGTATGTATTTTTATTCGGTTTAAAATACCTCCTCAAAAGGATATATCCCTCTTCAGGATATTCTTAGGTCTCTGCCGTGTCTCTGGTGGTCCCTAGAGTTGGTCTCAGGTGGTTCCAGCTCTCTCTTCCGGACACATGGCAGAACTGCAGTTCCCCACCCTGGCATCCTCGGCTGGGGCCACGCGACTGGTTCTGGCCCATGCGTCAGGAGCAGAAGTAGCTTGTGTCCCCAGGGTGGGAGGTTCACCTCCCTCTAGGCGACCCTCCAGAGCCTCACCCCATCCCTCTGACATGGCCACATTTCAGGGGTGGCTGCGTGGTCGGTCACCTTGGTCTCTGCTGACTAGTGATGTCCCCGGCCCTGAGTGAGTTGTTCCCTGAGTGAGTTGTTTACCACCCTCCATAACCCTGAGGTCACAGCCCCTCATTTTAGCGTGTGGGTGGCCATGGATACCTTCGCGTTCTTCCACAGGCTGTGACCCTCTGCCCCCCGAGCCCAGCCCCTGGCCGCGTGCTTCGGCATAGACGGTGGTCAGGAAGAACTTCATGGAACAAACGTGGTCGGTGGCGATGTGAAGCCAAAGGACCTTTGACGTGAAGCGGGTTCGAAGGTTCAGGGACGGTCCGGTCTCAATAAGAATTTATGACTCGGAACAGGACGTGGGGAGTCCGTCAGCATGTGTTCCTTTGTAATTTTCATTTTGAAACTGAATATTTTACTTATTCTAGATGTTTTTTGAGAAAAAAAGAATTAGCTGGAGATTTTATACTTATATCATTTAAGGCATTTTTTTCTGCAAACCTTTAACTAGGAGTCAGCTCAGTTGCATTCTGCTCCTTATTAAGTCAGGAGCTGGAATTGCAGCTTGCAAGCAAAGGCACCTGTCGCCACCTAGTGGCAGTGTTTCTTAATTGCAGATTCTTTTAATGGACCAAGATTAAACGCGGAAACAAAACGTAACATCATTTAAGATTTACCGGTGAAATGCCTACAGCCTCTTAATACATTCCGCTGTCATTATTTATTATTATGTCTTTACTGGGCTGTACGACCTACCTAGGTGTTCTGGAATGAGAAGGGGCATACACCAAATTCCTTTTGGGAGAGAGATTTCTCTTTGTAAACAAATCCATCAGAAGGGAACATTTTGTGGTGCTGGGTTGATGTCAGGGCTGCAGCATGCAAGCTTTGCAGCCACCTTGAGGGGATCGGTGACTCGTGTGGTCTGGACAAGGGGCCACCCTCTCTTTTGCCCACAGAGTTGATGTACTAGGAAGGTATAAGTTTTTATATTTAAAGATAACCCAGAAGTTGACTTCTGTATTCTTCTCACTTTGATTTTTAAATCAGTAGCAATTTCTAATGATTAAAATCTACCACAACCTCAAGAACTAGCCATATCCTGAGGTGATAGGCGTGCAACCCAGATACAGCTTATATTTATAGGTCTGATCGCCAGCCTTGCCATTCCATGACAGTAATTAATGCTGTGCCATTCAAAATTGTGTTGGCTTTTAGAGACTCATGGACATGGATGGTAGACTAGTGGTTACCAGAGGGTAGGAGGGGGAAGGGGAGGGAGATGGGTAAAAAAAGGGGTCAAATATGTGGTGACAGAAAGAAATCTAACTATGGGCGGTAAACACACAACGCAGTGATATACGACTTACTGTTGAATTGTGCACTTGGAACTTACTGGATTTCATTAACCAATGTCACCATAATAATAATAAAAAAAAATTGTTGGTTTTTTCATGGTCCAGAGTGTGATGACATGAATCAGGCCAGCTTTCGGCCTGGGTGACCTGTTTCTAGGCTTATGACTGGTAGTCTCTTTATTTGTGATTTTTTTGGGATGATTACAGAAACATCAATCACTTATTACTATAAATATTTTATAATGCCAATTGAATGTGATGAAATATTAAAAATACCATTTATTAAATATTTAAAAAGTTCAGTCTTTGGAACTGGCCAACATCTCTTCATTCTGTTGCCAGCTTAAAGGAGCAATTTAGAAAATTTTAATTATAAAATTAGAATACCGGGAAAAAAAATAAAAATTAAGAATAATGTCATAAAATTATTTTTTTGCTTCGAACCATTAGTCATTAGCTGCAGGCCTTTCCTTAGTGTAGCAGAAATAACGTATTTTGTGCTACTACCTTGTTATGTTTTCTGCAGTTTTAGATTTTCTGCAGTTTGCCTAGTATTTTTACCTTCCTACTGAGTTAAAGTCATTCATTTAAAGTCTAAGGAGTTTTATGGACTCATATATTGGGATAATCTTCAGCTTTATTTGCTACACTTATAATTTTATTAATAAAACCCTAAATATGAAAACAAATTGGAATTGGCTATTGCTATTAATGGCGCACTGTTAATAGTAATGTGAATTAACAGTTTCTGTGTTTTAAAATGGGAGAGTAGCGACAAACAGTGGAGGTCTGGGAGAGCTTTCTGGGAAACAGCCTGCTGATCTGCATCTGTACCTCCAGGCCGTGTTCCAGCCTGCGTCACTGCATGGTCTGACAGGTCTGGAGGCGATGGGGGTTTCAGCAAGCCGGTGAAAGGTTCAGCCTCAGCGCAGCGTGAGCTTATGTTCTGTGTTCAGTGGACACCTCCCAGCCCGAGGGCCACAGTGCGGGACCCTCCACCAGTTAACTGACGCCGTGCCGGGGGCCGTACCCTTCTGAATTCTCTTCTTTACCAAGTCTCTTGTCCCAGGAGCAGCTTTTGTGAGGGGAGAAGATGTTTTCTAAAGGCCCTTAAATTTGGGGTCTTTATGATCTGGGTTTGGTTTCACAGTAGGTCCTTTCTGGACAGATACCCCAGGATCTCACCTCCACCTACCAGAAACAAAACGAAAAACACTTTCCTAGTGTCTGCAACACCAAATCATACCTATTTTTTGATTCTTAGCACCGAAACTCACGTCTTTATGAGAGAACTTACAAACCAGGACTCTGGTTTTACTTGTATTGTACGTGAGGTTCCTTGCACACCCATTCATGGGCCAAATAGCTCCTGGGTGATGAAGCGCTAGTTAGCAGAGAACGAAAGGTCACAACCTCCCTGAACCTGCGTTTTTGTACCTGTCTGAGTAGAGGAGAAGTCACAACAGCACCTTGTGGCATGTCCTGCGTGTCTGACACTGTCAGCGTGTTACGTGTGGCCAGTTTGATCACACAGCAACCCACGAGGCGGGTGCTATCGCTGTCCTCAGTTTACAGGAGAGGAAACTGACGCCCATGGAAGAAGCCAGGCCACCTGCCCCCCGGCCCCAGGCTGGCACCGCTGCCTCTCCGTGCCCGTGGTGGTGATGAGTAGCAGAAGGGAAAAACGGAAGTGGGCGGGGGCAGAGCTGCCAGCGCCCTCGTAGTCGGAGGCGGGAACGTTTGAACAGTGACCCTGAGACACTGTTGGGGGACCCGGGAGGTCAGAGCTGTTGGAGTGTTAAGGCGTTGCTTGCCTTCCCCTTGCACAGGGGAGATTCCTGGAGGCTGCGTGCCGTGTGATGACGTGGCGTCCGGCTGCAGCAGAGACAAGAACCCAGCCACCTCCCGCTAAGCCAGGCGCCGAAAAGATTGGCAAACATGTAAAACTTGGCCACTCTTCTTAGAATTGAGTTGTGTTCATAAACAATGTTATGTTAACTTCTAATGGGTTTTCATTTCCAGTACGGTAAATACGGGTGGGAGAGTGGGTAGGTAGATGGGTCCCACGTAGACAGACGCTGCTGGGTCCTCGAGGACTCTTGGTGTAAACCGTTCTGAGAGTGGAGATTTGAGAACCACGGTTTCGGAGGAGATCGTCTGGCTGCTGTGCGAAGCGTTGGTACAGGAGGCGGGAACGAGGCCGCACGGCTCTGGTATCTAAGAAATAGTCCAGGCGTGCAGCAGAGATGATGAGAAATGGCCGTGTCTGTGTGTGGACGTTAACAGAATAGTGGCAAAGTGTGTATAACAACAGTTCCTGGCCTAACCGTTTTCGAGAGTAGTTCAGCGGCGTTAACACATCCGCTCGCAGAGTTGTGTTCTGCATCCGTCCTCTTCATCTTGCAAAACCGACACTACCCAGCAAACATCGAGTCCCGTGAGTCTGGACTTGCTCTGAAAGCGAGGGCAAAGGGCTCGCTGCTGTTGGGATGTGGCGTTAATCAGAGAGCTGGTGGCTTTGCGTCCCTGCCGCGCCTGGGCCTGGCATGCCCGTGAGTGTGTCGCTCGCCCTGTGCACTGCGCTGGAGCGCAGGGGAGGCCCGCGACGGCTCCGCGTCACGGTCTCCTGTCATCTCCTACCGGTCATCGTAACAGCAAAACACGTGTCGTCTCATCGTGGTGACGTGATGTTAGAGATGGTTAAACGGTTAACTGTGGTTTCAGGTACTTCTGGATTGACTTGCACTTACGGGAAGGAATCCGGGTAGTTCGTTCAACAAATAGGTATCACCCACCTGGAATAAAGTTCTACACGGTCCCTTTTAATCAAATCAGCTTAACTGAGGGGTCCTGCGGTTAATGCACATCCTGAGGTAGAACATGAGCTGGTGACACGTTTAAGGCGAAAGTAGAGGGAATGGAAATGTGCCAGCTGTGCGGTGGAGCCCAGAACATGCCGGTGCAGGCGGGAGCTCAGGGAGGACGTGGGGGCCGAAGTGGGACAAAGTCTTGGCATAGACACCCCCACCCCCGCCCCGGGAGCCAGGCCAAGCAGAGCAGAGTGGGAGGAACTGAAAATTGATTGTGTCAGGTAAGCACCTGCCAGACAACACAGTTCTCACCTTAAAAACGGAAGCAGCAGTTATAGTCCAGTCTGGAAGGAAAAACATCAACCTTCCAGTTAGGGGAGCCGGCCCCGTGGGGGGTGCCCCTGGCTTACAAACCAGGAAGTTGAGATTAAGAGGTCAGTTACGTGCTCAAGGTCACAGAGTGAGTTGACAGGGGAGCTGGACTCTGACGCCAAGTCGGCCTGACTCCAGAGGAGACGATTCTGTGTTATTGGTGAATTTTAATTTTAATACCTTATGTTTGTCATTTTGTATTTTATAAGTCTCTTTTGTATCTTTGTTTTACATTTTTATTCGTAATGCTAATTTTAAATAATAATATTGTATTATCTTAAGTATTTCTCTTTGTAACTTTTCTGTGATCTGAAAAGAGTTTGAGTTTGTCTATAGCCATCAGTTTTTTTTCTTTTAATTTCTAGAGCAATTTCTTAGTTCTGGTTGCTTCCTGAATTCAGATCACTTCTATATCACTTACTCTAGAATTTAGAATTTCATCCCATTTAGGTCTGGAGGCCAAACTTTGCAAAAAAAAAAAAAAAAATACAAGTGTTGCCTTCCAGACTAATGGGAGTTTTATTATTTTAATAATAGATGTCTGTCTGCAGAAGCAGTTGAGCTTAAGATAATCACTCTCATCCGGTCTGTTTCCTTTCTTTTTTTAAACACAGCCAACAAGCACAAGCCTTGGCTCGAGCCCACCTACCATGGCATAGTGACAGAGAACGACGACGCCGTGCTTCTCGACCCCCCGCTGATCGCGCTGGACAAAGACGCGCCTCTGCGTTTCGCAGGTACGGCGTGCCTCTCACCCGCTCCCGACGCGCGGGGACCCGTGGGGAAGCGTGCTCGCCGGTCCCGGTTTGCTCGTCTCTCCCTTTCCGAGAGCGTCTCGTGGCAGGGCTGTCTGTGCCTCCCGCGCACCACGCTTTCCCTTCGCATTTTAATTGTCGGGGCGCCCGACAGAAAGCCGGTACTTGTGCTTGAAAAGCAGAACGTTTAATCGCATCATTACCTTCCTTGTCTTGATGTGATCAGATAGATAACGCGCAGGCCAGCGCATCTCAAACTGAGTGAGTACACAGCGTGCCCGAGGCTCGTGTTAAAATGCGTGTTTGGGTGCAGAGGGCCTGGGGGGACCCGAGACTCTGCCCTTCTGACCTGCTCCCGGTGCTGCGGGTGCTGCCAGCCACGAGAGGCAAGGATCTGAGCAAGCAGAGCTCGAGGTTTTCCTTGCATGACCTCGGTGTCAGCTACCTGGAAAGACTCCACTTGAAAACGTCGAGTAATCTCTGTAGAGAGATCCTTTGGCTCAGACGTAACTGTCAGTAAATGTCTAAAGTCGAGGAATTTCATAAGACGTGATCTGACTGTAGGGACAGATCCGGGGTCACTTGGGACACATGCCGCTTCGCTAACACTTGGTAGCGCTTTGCACGCGGGGGCTGTGCCGGGCCTTGCTTCCTGGCGTGTCCGAAGTGCCTCCTGGTCACTGGTGGAGAAGGTGCCGCTGCAGCCTGCCTTCACCCTGGAGCCAAATCGATGTCGTGGATTTAATTTTTAAAGAGCAGTTGTTGCGTGATATTTTTCCAGGACAAGATTTCTCCTATCAATGTGTGGCGTTTGCCTCGGGGCAAATGAGAAAAATTCAGTTAACACGCCCCGTCTTCTCTCATATTAACTTGACTATGTGTAAATTGAGAGGAATGAACGTGTTTCTGAAAAACTATTTAAAAAATAAATTTGTTGTTCTTTTTCTTCGAGAGTCACGCCCTGTTTTCAGGAAGGTCACCCGAGAACCAGCTGGCGCTGAGTCCATGGTGGAGACGGGCTTTTCCAGTTAGAGAGGACCCCAGTTAGGCGGCCGTCTGAGCTGCACACACGCACTCCGTGTGTCTAGTAGCTCGGGTGGTTTTCTTGCTTGTCCCTCTCCCGTTTAGAATCGTTTCTGGCATTGCCTGTTGGTTTTCTCTGTAACCAAGTAGATTTTTGAGTGTTACACGTGTGTACACACACTTGCCATGCGTACCGTATTCAGTGATCCTACGCGGTTCCCCTTTACGAGCTTGACATTCAGTGCCGTGCAAGTAACTTTAATAGGAATGTCTAGCGTGTGTTTTTGAGTGGACTTAAATATTTATGACGTTTCATACATTTTAAGTGATTACAGTCAGAAGTTCTGTATTTACTCCCTCAAGCCTCTCTTCCTCTCTGAAGTGTCAGCCATGTAGGGCCCTGTGGTTTGTACCGCGACCAGGGCCTGGGGCTAGTGACGCTCCCTAAATACTGCAGAAGGAACAAATGAGCCCGCACAGCCCGTAAGTGGCAGAGCCGCCTCCCTGCCCGGTGGTCTGACTCCAGCCTGGATTCATAGGCTCACTGTGACCTTGTCTTTAGAACGTTGCAAACATTCTGGCTCGTCGTCTTACCCATCACGGGAATGCGTGTGAGTTACCACCAGAGAGGACTTGTCAAAGGTCTGAAATAAGTACACGTGTGATGCCGGGCGCTCGGTCACCGAAGTGCATTGCAAATTGTCGCTCATCAGACCTTCGCGTTGAACCGGGGTCTGGCTCAGATTTGTTTTTTGGAGGGGATGAAACTAAGAATCAAGTCTTGGTATTTGTCAGGTACTTTAGGAAGCTAAAATGACTCAATTCCTTGTTCAGCCCCTTTTCCTTAATCTGCTAAAAGTCGGAGGAGAGGTGGGTAAGAAAACGTGTCGTCCACGTTGTGTGTTTGATGGGAAGTCGAAAGCCAACAACCACCAACACAGGCCACGCTGTCGCTGTTTTGACCAGTTCCTCTTCGTCACTTCCTGTATCAGAAGCGCGCGCACCCCGCCCCTCCGTCCTCCGTGTCCTCGTCTTCCTAGTGGGTGGTTCCGCCAATGTTCTTTCCCTGCTCGTCCAGACTGAGCATTTACAGACGCTGACAAGACTAAACAGTCACTCCGTAAACAGAGTCCGAAAGAAACTTCAGGGCAAGAATGAGGAGTTTATTCTTGTTGATATTTAATTAGAACCAACTCAGATCTGTGATAATTTTCTTAATATTCTTTGCAGTTGATGTGGCTTGTGCTCTGAGGATGGCTGATGGAGTTTACTACACATCATCCTCCAGTTTTGTTGCTGAGATATGCAACAGGGCAGACATTGTGTTTGTAGCAATGAGTTGCATATATTAGGTTAAACCACACGAAATTACCATTTTTATATATTAAATCTATCAGAACGTTTGAGAAAATGGAATGTCAGAAATTTCATGTGGTTTAGCCTAATTAACATAAAGCAATATTCAGTTGCGTAGCAGTTTTAAGTAACTATCTGGATGTTAGGACGGAAATTACATATTAATAGTTGCCCACTAGCGTGAACTCATTTCGAATGCAGTTGCCTCCAGGAAAGGTTTGGGGTCCGTAACCATCAAATATTAGAGGGTCCGCTAGGCTTTCTGGAGACTGTAGGCAGCATAAAGGGGGGGTCTCTGTTCTCAGAGCACCGGTACCCAGGTGGGAGGGCAAAACCAGCGTGGACAGAGCTACCCGGGGTACTGGGCGGTTCATGGCTCGGTGCCAAGGGGGAGAGGGGACACACAGGGAGGACTGGAGTTCATGAAAAGGCAAGGCGGTGCAGGCCAGAGTGATTTCCTGCGGCAGGGCTGCAGCTCCCCGCAGGATGGCGGGACTGGCAGGCGGTGAGGGGTGACGGGGCAGGACCAGAGGTGGGGACTCTCATGGCTTCCAGAGAGAGAGAGGCGGACGTTAGCTTGTGTGGCATGTAGCGTGGGGGAGCAGAAGGCTGGGGGTCAGCCTGGGCTTCACAGTGTCCCCTGAGGTATGGCGGCACCTGCATGACCCTGATACTGCCTCCAGGTCCTTGGGGACCACATGCCACTTCTGGCTGCTCCCCGTGCCGATTCCCGTCCGCTCCCTGTGCCGCTCTTGGCCGCCAACTCTGGCCTCAGGGCGGAGCTGAGGGGCCCGCCAGCCAGCAAGGCGAGGTATGGATACTGCCCATCGTGGCTTTTCCAGGCACAGACTGCAGCCTGCCTGCATCGGAACAGCCTGGCAGCAAAACCCCGATTGCTGGGCTCCCCAGAACTGCCGGGTCGCAGTTTCTGGGCATGATGGGTTTGACAGACGGCATTTTTAACACGCTTCCCAGGCAGTTTCTTGGCACTCAGAAACTGGAGAGCCGTGGCTGTGTTCAGTGAGGAGCTTGGAGACAGAGCCTCGCCCCTGTGCTGGGCCGTGGGGGCATCACCCTTGGCTGAGTGGTTTTTGTTAAGGGATCGCAAGAAACTGTCCTGATGAGAGCCACACGTGAGCGTGTCCCGGAAACGAGCTTGGACCAGTCACCAAAAACAAGCGCCAGCCTGGACACCCAGCGGGTGAGCGTGGGCGCCCGGGCTGAGGAGGGAGAGGAGGTGGGTTAGCAGGGACGGTGTAGGCGATGCTCGCTGTTAATGACCCTGATCTCCCTCCCACTGGGTCCAGATCGCTGGGTCTGCAGCCAGAAGCATTAAAGACCCAAGTGAGGCTGACCAGATGCTCTCTTCTTGGAATGTGGCTGTCAAGCAGAGGGAAGAAGGCGCTAGAACCAGTTGAGGCTGCCTTCCATCTGTCCAGGCCCGTTTGCTCTGGGCCTGTCGTGGCCCCTGTTTCTGGTCTCTCGAGCTGCCTTGCTTTGCTTTCCAAGCCCGTTTCTTTGGCCTGCAGTTAATTCCGTGAGTTCCCGATGGCTCTTCAGTGAAGCCCGTTTGCCTGAGTTAGCTGGAATGGATTTCTGTTTGCGTCCAGAGAGCCTAACTCTTCGAGCCAGAGCTGATGACCTCCATTAGGATTGCAGTATAAGGGCGGGACGGCCTGGGAGTGGGGGAGGCTACAGCGTGGGCTTTAGGGATGCGCCCCTCTTGGGGGAGCGCAGCACAGATGGAGGCCATGCTCAGATCTGATGAAAGACTGAGAATGCGGGGGCTGCCCAAGGCCGAGGCTGCCCAGGCCGCCGAGGAAGGGCGCCAAGCGCCAAGCGCTGCCCGCGAGCCCCCTCGGCACTGTGGGTATCGGGGAGTCAGATCCGTCCTGCACGTTGTGTTCGTCCATGGTTACATTTTTATGTTTTACTTTAAAAAAATTCTTTAATGTAAAGTTCTTTCTGACTGTTTTAGATGACCGTAGGGGAGGGAAGGGGGAGAGAGCTAGGGAAAGGTTTGGTCCGTCTGGGGCTAGCACGGCCGGGAGCTCATCCGGGGACCTGGCGGGGTGTTCCCAGTGAGCCGAGACGGTTTTTGGTGCGCCACCCGGCAGAGCGGTGGCACGTGGTCGGCTGGAAGAGAAGGGGCCGGGCAGAAAGGAAGTGGAACAGGGCAGTGTGTGTTGAGAGGTCTGTCCTCGCAAAGGTGGAGAGAAGGTGAGTCTAGGACAGAGGACTGACCGTGCAAAGCGCAAGAGAGGCATCGTTACGTGTCACTGTGATGTCACTCCGTGTAATGCGTGTAACTGCTCTGTGACGATGTGCGTGTGATTGTCCTGTGTGCGTGACCAATAGGACTGCACATGCCAGGATGAGGGAGAGGGAAGAAGGATGGGTCCGAGACGACTTTGAAGCTTAGAAAATCAGCTCCCAGGATTGGGGCATTGCTGGCAGAAGCTGGTGTCGGGTTTGGGGAGGAAGCTCATAAACTGAGTGTGGTTCGAGAGCCAGAAAGAGTTCACCGTGAGCGCATCTAAGGAGTTGTTAGTTTTGTTGGCTGTGTAATGTTATTGTAGTTCTGTTAAAGAAAATCTTTGTCTGCTAGAGATCTAGTGGATTTCGTATGGACGAAACAGTTTAGTGTCTGGCTTTAAAATACTCCGGAGCCAAGAAGGTTCAGGGATAAGTGAGCAGACAGCAGAGCACGTCACCTCTCCCGAGTCTGTCTCTTTCCCCGTGTCCTCGTTCCCTTAGTGGCGCCATCAGCCGGAAACCAGGCAGTTACTCCCCACTCTTTAACTCTCCCTGTGCGGTCACTGACGAAGTCCCGTCCTCCTAAAAATTCCTTGGTCCTTCCTACCCAAGCTGCCTGAGTTTAGCCCCCAGCAGGTCTCACCACGTCTGCCCGCCCCTCGCCTTGCTGTGCTTGGATCCGTCCTCACGGAAATGTGGTCCTAGATGGACTGAACAGAACCAGTGAAGAGGGTGTACCACTGGTCTGTAGGTGATGGCTCGGCAGTGACGCGTAGGGCCGGTCACTCAGCTGGTCTGGGAACCCAGGTCTGCCAGAGCGCGGCGCCCTGGAAGGCAGGTCGTCACCTGGCAAGATGGCTGTTAAGTCATTCTAGGCAAAAGGACTCGGCCCGCCTAGCACTTTACTAAGTACCTGTGGATTTGGGGCAGCAGAATCTGCGGGCGCTGCCCATTCAGGCCGCCAGCGTCAGAGCAATCGGTTGAGGACACGTGGACAAGACATAGCACGCATTTTCGCTTCTCATTATCAGTGGATCCAGGCTTTTAGAGAACGGCCTGGAAATACATAATCAGTTTCACAATAACTTGTATTTGATCATTGTACCTCCCTGAGACACTGTTCCTTCCAAAGTTGTGATACAGACACATGTTCAGGGCTCCAGTGAAATTCCCTCCAGACCTTCCTCCTCGTGGGTCCTCGCTCACGGCCCCACAGCACCGGCCTCGCTTGTAGACAGACACGCCCCGATCTGCCCACTTCTCACCACGCACGGGGCTCCCCCGGTTCTGGCCTTCAGCACCTCACGCCCGGAGTACCCCAGTGACCATCTCTGAACGCTCACAGGCTCGTTTTCATCACAGCAGCAGATGGAGTCTTTCAGAATATAAGACATGGTTTAATTTCTGCTCAGAGAAAAGCTGACGTCCTTGTAGCAGCCGGTGTCACCTCAATTCCCCGTCTTCGTCTGAGCTCGTCTGCAGCCTGCCCTTTGTGCGGCTGCTGCAGCAGCACCGGCCTCCTTGTCCAGAGCCAGGCCAGGCCCAGGGCTGCCTCAGGGCCTTTGCGCTCGTTGCCCCGCTTCTGAAATCCTTCCTTCAGCTTCCTCTGGTTTCTGTTCAGAGGTCATCTTGTCAGCGAAGCCTTCCCTAGCACCTGACTTATAAAATCGAACCACTTCAGCGCCTTCCCACACTCCTGGTCTCCCTCCCCCTCCTCCCGGCATGAAATCTCAAAGGAGAGAGAGGTTTAGGGAGTATAATCTATTGGCAAACAGTGCTGTTCCTCCCAGAAACCATCTCAGGGACATTGCTCGAATGATGAGTGTCTTCGACCCCTTGTTCAACAGAGCGTGGTGGAGGTGGCCTTGCCCAGGTCACACACTTGATCCAGGTCTGAAATCTGCACTTACCTACGTAGTGGCAGTTGTCGTGAAGCCACCGTCACTCATGTTTTCTGCAGAACAGTCAACTCTGAGTCAGAAACTGGCAAAGGTTCTCTGAATTAAAGCTAGGCAGCTTGACTTATTTTAAAATGTGTTGTGCAGGACTAATATACACCCCAAAAGTGTAAATATAACAGTGAATTAGCACCTTCTGGAAGACAGTTTGACATACCTGGACCCGGCGGTTCTGCTCAGAGGTGTGTCTCCAGAGCAGTAATCGGCAGACTTTTTCTGTAAAGGGCTAAATGGTAAATACTTCAGGTGCGGCGGCTGTAGTGACCCAGCTTTGCCAGTGGAGTGGGCGAGCGGCCATCAACAGTGCACCAGCGAGTGGGCGTGTCTGTGTCCCAGCAAAACTTTGCTTATGGACCCTGAAACCTGAACTTCATACAATTTTCTCATCCCACCATATAACATTTTTTGGCCTTTTTCTACCCACACTTGGATGCATTTTATAAAATATTTGGTATCTATAGCTGTTTATAATATATTTCAAAAGATAACCGTTTTTAGCATGCCGGTTGTTCAGAAGCATACGCGGTGGATTTGGCCTGCGGGCCGTGGCGGCCCCCGGGGACCCTCGGGCGGGCTGTCCAGGAGCGCTGCTGTGACGACGGGGCGGGCGGGCTCCCACGTTCTCCAGTCCGTACTCACTGGGCGCATGTGGCCGCCGAGCACTCGAAATGCGGCCCGTGCGACGGAGGAACCGAATTTTTCATGTTATTTAATTTTAATATTAATTTTAATGATTTAATTTTAAGCCACCCCGTGTGGCTGGCGGCTGCCTCGTTGGCCAGCACAGATCTAAAGAGACACTGTTTGTGCAGCAGGAAGCACATACAGAAACATCCATTAACAGCATTGTTCACAAGCAGCAAAAAAATGACATCACGGTGCATTCACACAATGGAAAATGATTATAGAAATGGTGAACATTTGCTGAGTGCTGTCTTTATGCCACGCAGTGACATTATACCTGTGTCAGCTCACTGGGTCCTCACTGTACGTCACAGGGAAAATGATTGCACCATAGCTGCCTGAGCCATCAGGGTGAGATGATCACCAGGCAGACATCACAAGGCTGAGCTTTCGCAAGACACAAGAATTCTATACTGTACGATGCCATTTTTCAAACCTCAGAAGCAAAACAAAACAACACTATTTGGGGATATAGAAATATACGGTAAAACCACTGTGAAAAAAAACAAGCAAGAGAATTCAGGCTGTGGTACATTTGGGGGACATAAGGTGCCCTCAGCTCGGCCACACTGATCTTCAGTTTCCTACTCTTGTCCTGGGGCCAGCTGAGCAGCACGACATCGGCTTACGGATGGTCATTCGAGCCTCACCACAATATTGAATCTCGTTTCAGTTCACATTTAAGCAGATGTTCCATTCGAAAAGGTGTTTACATTTGTGGCCTTGGTTAAGTTAGAGCCAAGCTTAGGTTAGAAATCACCGTTATTTACTCGGTTCAAGAACAGAGGGTTAAAATAAGACCTGTTGCTCCAGCCATTTGTTTCATTAAATCTAACGATGAGCTGAATGTTACCAGATCCTAAGCACAAGAATTTAGCATGAAAACAAAAATCTGAAAACTGTAAAAGGACAGGTAGTATGCCATCGTCATCTAATGTTCGTTAAAAGTTCGGACACCTGAGGGTAATATGAAACTTTACAGTGGTATTTCATCTGTAGGTTAGTGTAATTTCAAAATTATGCAGTAGTTTGTGGTAAGTAGGACTGAGACATTTTGTTACCGAAGGTCCAGTTTTATTATAGCAATTCTAACACATGGCTACTGAGCTAATTGTTAAATTATGTCAAGCTTTTCTATGTCATATTTGCATCTTTGACTTTTTTTCCTGATTGTTCCGTCTTCCTTCTTTCTTGTATTACTGACATGGGTTTATCTTTTCTCCCTTTAGAGAGTTTTGAGGTGACAGTCACCAAAGAAGGTGATAAAGGGTTCTTTCTCTCCCTCTTATGAATATTAACCCACTAACTTTGTTTATAAAATTGGGAATCAGCCCTTAAACAGAAGAAGCTGTCATGCTATTTTACCCCAATTTATTCTCCTCTTATTTGTTTTGAAATATATTGATAGAAATTGTTTGTAACCAAACCCTTGGTTAGAAATATCTGGAAATCAGACATCCATTTGAACTATGTGGATAATACTGTACGTTTTCTCTTAACCGAACTTAAGAGAGTCACTTCCTGACCATTTTCTATCGGTCATAATTTTGGAAGAGTTCGATCTTATTTTTATGTGAAATACATTTTGTGAAGTTTGATGTATCCATTGAAACGTTTACCTTTGTTCTCCCATGGGCAAGCACAGAAACCTAGATTCGAACTCCCGATTAAGCTCGTCAGCCAACTTGGTCGTTGAGTCCCCAGGCAGGCTTCCTTTTCCCGTCCGATAGGGCGGATACGGAACAAACGGGGACTGGCCTCCCAGGTCCCTCCCGCGACACACACAGTGCTTAACCGCGATGCTGGCCGTTGAAATGGATGCCTGAAACGTTGGTATTTCTACCTTTCTTGTTCGGTAGTTTGTTTTGATTCCCTAATTTTAGCCAGGCTCATTGCACAGGAAGACTTATCTCTTCTGATTTTTTTTTTTTTTTGACAGACTTTCTGTAATTACGGTGCTGAACCTATATCTCACGCTTCTTCCTCTCTCAACACTTAACTGTGCGTTTTAGCCTTCTGTCTGGTCCAAATCAAAATAGCCGCCCGGCTGTCCCCAGTCGCTGGGGCAGTTTCTCGGTGTTATTGGGCCTCGGCTGTGGGCTAATGAGACCACTCTGACCCTGGAGCTGTCCTAAGTACTCCTGTGAAATGCCTGTCTATATTTTCTCTCTCTTTTGTATTCCTGCATGAGTGGATGCAAAGTTTAAAAAGTTGCTTGGGAAGCCAGACATGCTTCTTTCTACTAAAGCCCCAGAACTCACCCTGTTCACGCACAGCCCCCTGCTTTGTCCACAGACCCTCTAAACCCCTGGCTGCCGAATTGTTGCCGTTTATTTTCTTTGGGGGAGGAGGGGACTGCGCACGTGGTGCGTGTGGCAGGGATTCTAACCTGTGCTGCTTTGACTCCCCAGGTGAGATTTGCGGATTTAAAATTCATGGGCAGAACGTCCCCTTCGACGCGGTGGTGGTGGATAAGTCCACTGGCGAGGGAATAATTCGCTCTAAAGAGAAGCTGGACTGTGAACTGCAGAAAGACTACACATTCACCATCCAGGCCTACGACTGCGGGAAGGGGCCTGACGGTGCCAGCGTGAAGAAGTCTCATAAGTAAGTGCGCTGGGCAGGGCGTGTGCGTAGGAAATGCGAGTGACCGTCCTCACCCCGTCCCCGGGACTTGGCGTGGTTCTGAAATGTGAGGCAGGAGGTGGTTCTCGGCCACCCACAGTGAGGCTGTGAGCAGTTTGGTCAGAGAGCCTTGTACACGGCTTCAGCAAGTGGAGGCCACGTGGCAGGTGTGGAATAAACGAATGATGAGTGATTTTATCCCACCAAATACTCTGGTCAAGAAACCAAGGCCTTATATTGAAAACATGAAAAGCCTAATTTTTCCCTAGGAAGATAGTTTGTAGGTACGTTTAACTTTTGTTTAAATTCTAAGGGCGTGAAATTCATTTGAGCTGGTGGAGGAAAGCCGATCGGTCTCTGTGCCCCATCCCGGGCGCGTTCACGGCCTTCCTGCCCGTCGAGGGCTCCTGGTGCGACCGAGAGGGCTCTGCACGAGACGCGTTTAGGCTTCTAGGCCGCCCTCCGCTGCTGCTTCCTCGCCCTGTGACGTTAGGCAGATTTAAGTCTGTTCAGTCTCAGTTCTTACTTAGTACATTGACTGAAGAAAGAGATGTATGTGGGTGAGATGATGTCACATGACCATTGTGAGAGTCAGGATGGATGGGTGGATGGATGGTGGATGGACGGTGGATGGATGGGTGGATGAATGGGTAGATGGATGGACGGACAGGTGGATGGATGATGGATGCATGGATGATGGATGGGTAGATAGATGGATGATAGATGGATGGGTGGATGGTGGATGTGTGGATGGTGGCACTGGGGTTTGGAGGGTCTTGGTGAATAGCGGGGATGCTGAGTACTGGTGAATTACTTCTCATCCTTTTCACAGTATTTTCACACTATTTTCCTTGAAAAAGATCTAATTTCAATCCTGACTGATTCAGAAACATACCCAGACTAATAACCCTTGAACCCAGAGTTTCCCCTCTCTGTGGCCTGGCCTGACGTTGCCTTCATTTTCTCACCCCCAGTGGGGTGGGTGGAACGTGGCAGCACGGGGTCCCCAGGACAGGCAAGACGGAGGTCGTGTTGCAGCCCTGCAGTAGTTGAATAAACAATGTCCCAACCATGGGTTACTAACCATCTCTGTTCCTTCGGAGCAGGACAAAACCTGTTTTAATGTTTGAAGTTTCCCGTCTTCTATTTCTTACCCCTTCTTCCTTTGGCTTGAGAGTTTTTCTGAATTTTGCAGCAAAATATTTTTAACTCTGTGAGTAGAGAGCTAACAGATTGTCTGATCGGGTTTACGTCCCTTCCGCGTGCCCCATCCCATGTTGTCAAGAGGCTTCCAAGTCTCCGTCGCTGCCTTCCTGCCAGCTACTTTATTCCTAGGACTTGGAAGAATCCATCAAAACTCCTGTTTTAACTTTCTGTTGTCTCCACACTAAATTAAAAACAATAGTTTAATTTTTTATCTTCAACATAAAATTTAATAATACCAAATAATCAGTAAAAGGAAATTTAAAGATAGAGCAGAATATTTTGGGGGTAACAAGACAAAGCACACAGCTTTTTTTCCTTCCTCCAGAGCGACCGTGCACATCCAGGTGAGCGACGTGAACGAATACGCGCCTGTATTCAAGGAGAAGTCCTACAAAGCGACGGTGGTCGAGGGGAAGCAGTACGAAAGCATTGTGAGGGTGGAGGCCGTGGATGCAGACTGCTCCCCTCAGTTCAGCCAGATCTGCAGCTATGAGATCGTCACTCCAGATGCGCCCTTCACCGTTGACAAAGACGGTGAGAATGCAAGAGCGAGCTCTCCTCGCCGAGGAGGACAGTCCGGGCGGACTGTCCCTTCTAAGCCAGTCGGTTTCAAACCCAGACTTTGCACTAAAGTGAACCACAGGTTGGAGACGGTCTTGGTCCTAGTCCGTTTGAGTTGCTGTGACGGAATGCCAGGGGCTGGGTGGCTGAAACAGCAGGGAAGTCCAAGATCAAGGTGTTGGCCGTTCGGAGTCCCGTGAGGGGCTGCTTCCTGCCTTGTAGACGACACCTTCTCACTGTGTCCTCAGGTGCTGGGACGGACAGAGCACTGAAGTCTCTTCTTCTTGTAAAGACACCAGTTTCATCGCGGTGTCTCCACTCTCATGACCTCGTCTAACCCTGAGTCCCTCCCCAAGGCCCCGCCTCTTAATATCGTCACATCGAGGGTTAGGACCTCAGCGTCCGAACTTTGGGGGACAGGAACATTCAGTCCGTAGCAGAGACCTAACATGGTGTGTCTGTTTCCTGTTTTTTCGGTCTCTTCTTGTAAAGACACCAGTTTCATCGCGGTGTCTCCACTCTCATGACCTCGTCTAACCCTGAGTCCCTCCCCAAGGCCCCGCCTCTTAATATCGTCACATCGAGGGTTAGGACCTCAGCGTCCGAACTTTGGGGGACAGGAACATTCAGTCCGTAGCAGAGACCTAACATGGTGTGTCTGTTTCCTGTTTTTTCACTCTGTCCCTGAAATCCTTTTTTCTGTCCTCTGAAAGTCTTGTGTTCTCTTGTGGGACGTTTCTCTTTTTCCTTTCCCACCAAAATCTAATAAAAATCCCCCGCTTAACATATTTTTATTTTTTCTCTCCTCTGCTTCCAGTCAGCACGCATCTGAATAAGACTGATCTCTGGTTTGCCCATTCTGTTCTCCATCAGATTTCAATCTTCTGCCTCATCCTAAAGATGAAGGCAACACCCTACTGCCAGACCCCTCTGTCCGCAGCAGTTAACAGAGTTAACTCAGTCTAGAGCTCAGCTGCTTCATTAGGTTATGGCTTTGGGACGATGACATAGTGTCTCCATTGTCAGCGCCAGCCCAGAATCGTCGGTGCAGTTGTGGACATTGCAAACAGTTTGTCCTCATCTCATGTTCAAAGTAGGCTTTTGTTCCGGTGGACGGGGTTAGGAAATCTCTCTCTCTTTTAAAGCGAATCTTTTGCATGAAGTATTTAATGCAGCTTGATCTAGTGTTTAATAGTTGCAGTCCTTGAATTGTTTTATCTTTTTGCATTCTCTTGTATGTGAACTGTTAAATCTGAAAGTAAATATAAAAACAAAAATCCTGTAAGAATAAACGAGTTGAATTGTGCGGGCTCATTCCTTCTGCTCAATCGTTAGAGATGGTTTTAGTGTGTGCTCAAGCTCAGGAAAGCCAGGGCGAGTGCCAGTTATCTCAAACTTAAGTTTATTGCCCTGTCCAATTTTACAGGCTTGAGGGCACATGCATTTTCTGTTTCAGCAGAGGACAGCGGAGGTCCAAACGGGCGTGGGTTTGGGGTCTCACTGTCGTGTTTTTCCTCCGGAAGGTTATATCAAGAACACAGAGAAGCTGAACTACGGGAAGGAACACCAGTACAAACTGACGGTCACAGCCTACGACTGCGGGAAGAAGAGAGCAGCAGAAGACGTTTTGGTAAAGATCAGCGTCAAGCCCACTTGCACCCCTGGGTGGCAAGGTGAGCCCCGTTCTCGTGTCTGCTCTTGCACCTGTGCTTAAAGCTTGTACACCGCGGACACCTAAAGCGAGTTCTCCTCCATGTGTGGCCCGATGCAGGATGGAGCAGCAGGGTCGAGTATGAGCCTGGCACAGGAGCCCTGGCCCTCTTCCCAGACATCCGCCTGGAGACGTGCGATGAATCAGTGGCCTCGGTGCAGGTGACGGTGGAGCTGGAGACCAGCCACATAGGGAAAGGCTGTGACCGTGACACCTACTCTGAGAAGTCCCTGCACCGGCTGTGTGGTAAGGGAGCCTGGGGGTCTCCAGTGGAGGTGACAGAGACCTTGGCACATGGGAACACGTGTGTGTGTCGACGTTCATGATTGTTAGCTACAACAGACTCCCAGCTTTCCGACCTGGCTGTTGCTGCCTTCCCGGCTGCCTTTCGCACTGGCTGGGCGTCAGGGGTACATAGCCCCCTCAGAGTCTGTTCAGAGTGTTCTGTGTGCGTGCATTTTAAGAACCACTGTTTGAAGAAAGTATTTATCTGACTTACCCTGACAGCCATTAAAATAGGTATTATATGGGCGAGTGAGTTGTAAATGAAGCGAGATGTTTATTTAAGGACTGCAGAAAAAACTATAGGCAACACAACAGCTTTTACCAGCCGATAAGTAGAAGCAGCTACAGATGCCCATATCTGATCTGTGGTCCCCACAGACTGGCTGATGCACGGCAGGTGCTGTTCGGCGAGGCCGGAGGCAGCAGGGTTGCCAGTCTGACCGAAAGGCTGCTTCCTTGTCTTCACTTCAGTGGAAAATTCTCTAGTTTATCTAAGTGGCGTAAAGGTGAGGTGTGGACGGCCTCCCGTGGAAAATGCTGAGAAATTTTACTTGGCTGGCGATAAAGTCCCAGGCACTGAAATGGCCTCTTCATAATCAGACAGGTCTTTTGTGTTTCACGAGCCTCTCAGCGTCAGCTGGGAGCACTTTCTGATGCCTTCTGCCTTTCCGCTAGCCCGACAACCCTGAGACGTAGGCAGCCAGTTTTCTTACATAACTGGAAATCGTTACATGGCGAATAAGCCCGAGGAAGAAGTATGGTCTCTGCCGGCTCATCCCGCCGATGAGTCTACTCAGGTGTTTTATGACTCTGGGTCCAAATATTCATGATCATGAACCTACATCTACATAAGTTAAGAGGTCCGGACTGTTTTCTGTCTTAAGCTGTATAAATAAGTATAAAACTTACTTTCTCATAATGCTGTTTCTTTGTGGTATTAAGTGAACATTTTTCTTAGTTTCAAGGTAGGAAGAATGGAAAGAGGTTTACGTTTGAGTGCTTACTGTATGCCGGGTGCTCCGCATGTGTCAGGTGGTACTGGCCTTGTTTTCGCAGAGGAATTTATTGAGACTCGGGAAGGCTAAGTTGCTCACCCATTTCATTTGGTAAATGGCAGAGGTGGGATTCGGGCCGAGGTCGCATGTGACTTGAAAGGCCAGGTCGTTCCAGCCACGTCATACCGCTCCTAGGAGTAGAGAAGTCATGGGCCAGGCGACAGAGCTTGCAGACTCTTCTGCAGACAGAATTGTAAGAAGTTTTGCTTGGCAATAGGTAACAAGAGCTGTAAGCTTTTTTCGTGTTTTTCGGCTTAGTAATTCCATTTCTAGGAATTTATTCTAAGGGGACAATCATGGAGACACGCAGAGGTGCTCATCAGGCAAGGTTTGTCATGGAAACAAATTTGGGACGACCGCAGTCCGTCAGGGAGATCAGTTACACGAATTTTGGCCCATCCGTGCGATGCAGTGCTACGCAGACTTTTTAAATTATGCTGTAGAAGAATGTGAATGGGAATCTGTGTACATATGAACGTGGGACTCCATTTTTATAATATATATATACGTTATTCTGTTTTTATAATATGCATCTATTCATAAAGGACTGGACGTGCTTATATGCAGTGTTAATTGTGGATATATTTGGGTGAGATTACAGGTAATGCTTTTTTCGTCCCATCTTTTTTTTAAAAAAATATCCATGGTTTTTATTTATGAATTTTCCTTATAACAAGCACCCTTATCTTTGAGAAGAAGTGAACTGGAACTGGCACTTGTACAAGCATAAGACGCGGACAGTCCAGTCAGCGTGATTCTGAGAGGCCGAGCCTTTCAAGTTCTTCGTATAACGCACGTTAACCGTGTAACTCACATTGTGCTGTTCCAGGTGCTGCGTCCGGCACTGCCGAGCTGCTTCCTTCCCCAAGCAGCTCTGCGAACTGGACCGTCGGCCTCCCCACTGACAACGGCCATGACAGCGACCAGGTCTTCGAGTTCAACGGCACTCAGGCAGTCAGGGTCCCAGACGGCCTCGTTTCCGTCAGCCCGAAAGAGCCTTTCACGATCTCTGTGTGGATGAGGCACGGACCCTTTGGCAGGAAGAAGGAGACGATTCTGTGCAGTTCGGACAGAACAGGTCAGTGTCGCCGGCAAGGCGTGGCACTTCGGTGTCCACTGGAGTGGCTGCTGGAGGCGGGCACCTCGTTCCTCCCGCAAAGGCCCCCACGGGCTGGTTGGTTTACGTTCACTGTCCCGCATGTAGCAGCGGGGGGTGCTCTGTCTTCGAGGTGACCGCCCAGGTCTTTGGAATGTTTGTTAGTTTTACTCAGTGGATTGGACCATGCTTCTCGGTAAAAACCCAGATGCATTTGTTTCTAAACCTGGTCTTGGCCCAGCTAGAGACTTCATTTAGGCTGATAAAACCGTCTTCAAAATCCATTAAAGAAATAGCTGTTATTTCTCTTTTGGGTCTTAGGCTGGCAGTTTACCAATAGACGTTCTCTTTGCAGACATGAACCGGCACCATTACTCACTCTTTGTCCACGGCTGTCGGTTTGTTTTCCTCCTCCGCCAGGATCCCTCAGGGGAGAAGAAATACAAACCTGCAGAATTCCACTGGAAGTTGAATCAGGTGAGTGACTGGAAAAGTCTCTGCTCGTGGTCTTTTCAGAGAGATAACGAGATACGGCAGCCTTGCACAGGACTGACTGTTTCTGAGGAGTGTTATGATTTTATGACTTCTACATCTGTGGCTATAAGGTAGTAAATTGGATCCATTGAACTCCTTTCCACTGAAAGCCTATGTTTTTTTAAAAAATATGTATTTTATACACAACGTTAATGTAAAAAAATTTTTTGATTTACGTTCAAAATTCTGTGTAATAACGTATTGAAATAAGCAGCACTTGCTTGCCTCTCAAATGGTGCCACAAAGCCCCAGGGGCCTCAGCAAATTCAGGCCACCATGGGATATTTAAAATTTTCAAGAAACCAGCAATCTTGACATCTTTTAGATACCACAGGAACTACTGGCTCGAGGGAGTTTGCGTTTTCGACATTTGATCACGTTACATTCTTTTAGACAATGTCGCATCTCTGCAAAGCTGCTTTTTCAACCATTGTCATAATAAAGAGCAAGTAGCACGTGAAAAAAAAAATCAATGTGTGACAGGAAATGAGAGGGTGCTGTAAACTGAGGAAGCCTTTTCATTAAAACCACAGCGGATCATTTCTGCTTTTGATTTGGGGTTTGGACAGAAGGAAACCTTTGGCCTTCTCTTAACTTTGTTTGCCTCTCGGAGTTAGTGAGCAAGAGCGGAGGTAGGTTGTATGTGCCAGTAGTTGTTAAAATATAACATTGTCTGAAACAGTTACAAGATAGATAAACGTGTAAGAGTATAAATGAGAAAAAAAATATGTGATGGAAAGATGAAGCAAATGCAGTTGGTAGCATTCACCTCTTACCGATGTAATTTTTATTTACGTAGATCATTTCATTCAGAAACTTTTGATCATAATGTTTTTCAAGAAGCTATAGTTCAGAAAGAACATTTTTGCAATGTAGGCAAACATTTTAGGTATGGTTCTGTGATAGTAACCGTAGTCTATATTCACCTATTTAGTTTTTTCTGATTACATTAAAACTTTATTGTAGGAAATTTCAGACAAACGTAGAAGTAGACAGATTAGTGGAAGAGCAACCATACACACCCTTCACCTTGCTCAGTAATTATCCACTCGTGGCCAGTCTGGTTTCGTTGTCATCCCCACTCATCGTTAATAATTTTCATCACCCCCTAGAAAACCACTTAGTGAATTTTAAGCAAATCCCCGATATAGCTTTTAATTCTGTGTAGAGATAATGGAATATGGATGGTTAAAAGATAAGTAGGATCATAATACTTTTTCACATTTTAAAAATATTAACAATTCCTTAATATGGTCAGGTGTCCAGTCACACTGTTCAAATGTCAAATTATCTTGTACGTGGTTTCGTACTTAAAATTTGTTGGAAGTCAGGGGCCATGCATTGTGGTTAGTCGATGCACCTTTGAGTTTATTCTAATTTGTAGATTTTTCTTTTCTCTCTCGGAATTTATTGGGTGACAAAAATCAGGCTTGTCGGCCCATAGTTCCCAGTAGTTAAGACGTGACTGACCACATCCCTGTGGAGTCATCTAACATGCTCCTCCATCTTTTTATACCCTGGAAGGTGACGGTGGGACCAGATCTGGGTTCGTCCTTCTGTAATCGAAGCATCCTTCCATGCTGAGTGCCGCCAGCCCTGCCTCTGATCATTTGGGTTGTAGGAAGTGTGTTCCCAGGAAGGGTTCATGGGAGCGATAATTTTCACATGTTGTTTTAATAGTTTGTCTGTGGCCTTTATACTGAAGGTCATTTTGGCTGGATACAAAATCTCTCGTTCATATTGGAGATTTCCAAGAACAGAAAATATCTCTCTCTGTTGTCTTCTGACATAAAGTGTTGCTATTAAAATCTGACAACAGACTGCTTTTCTTTTCCTTATAAAATACTTGGTCTTTTCTTTGGATGACCAAAGGGTGTTTTTCTCTTCTTTTTTTTTTTTTCTTGTTAGTTAATTTTATACTATGTCCTGATTGTTTTGGATCTGTTTTCTTAGATATGTGGTATATGCCCTTTTAGTATATAATTTGAGACATTTTGGTATTTCAGGACAGTTTTTATTATAGTTTTTAGTATTCTCTTCCATCACTTTGGTTTTTTCCTTACCTTTTGTTGATATTCTTTACCTGTTTTCTGCACCTGTCGCTTTCTCTTTAATTCGTTCCTGTGTTTGTCACCTCATTTCTGAGTTTCTCCCATTATGATCTATGTTCGTTCATATTTCGTGTCACTTTCCTAGTGTCTTAGCGACCTTCGAATAGATTGTTTTCATGTCGTTGGTAGGCATGTCAGGGGTGCTTTTGTTATCTAGAGGGATATTATTCCCCTTAATTCTCTTTTTTCTCTTAAAAACTTTGTATCGGACTGAGCCATGATCCTTTTTTCCCCTCATTTTTGCGTGAAATTAGTTTTCCTGTACTTATAAAAGACAGTTCTTCAGCATGGCTTTTTTTCTAGTGAGGGTTCTGCTTCCCCCTTCCGTTTCCGTAGTGTTAAAAATATGTGGCCTCATGCCCTGTCGTAGCTCTGGGATCAGAAGCCCCTGCCTGCCCCCCACCCACATGTCAAGGGTTCATGCGGTTACCTTGTCACCGAGTATGTTGTCTGTAGCTTTGGGTTTTCCCATCCTAATCGCCCTGTTTTCAGAGAAATAAGAAAATTATACTAATGCTACTATCTTCTCAGAATATATTCATGGATTTTGACAAAATACTACTGATATTTAAATACAATATTACTCTAATCCCCTAGAAATCTGCAGTACTTTAAAAACTGGGGATGTAACAGATATTGCTTCCTGAAGGAGTGTATATTACAGAACTTGTATTTTTTTGTTGTTTTTACATTTTTCTTTTACTTGCTAAGGTTTTTGGTGATGGTATTCATTTTGAAGTATAGCATATGGAATATAGTCAATAATACTGTGATAGAACTTGTTTTAAATAGAGACAAACTAAAATTAAGATTTTATCTGTCTCAAAAGCGAATTACTGTGCAATTTCCCTTATCTGGAGATTCTTCGTGTAATATATGTACGTACGTCTATCACGTGTATTGTGTATATGTGATAAACACATACGATGTAGAGGTTTGAATTCTTCCTGATTTATCAGGAGCAGCTGCGTTTCTTTTGCGGGCATCCTTTGGTGACTCGTTTATTTTGATGTTTCAGGTCTGTTTAAGCCTCCCTTTCTCATTGGTTCAGTTTCTTAGAATTGAAATGTAAATTGGGCGAACTTTTTAGAAATACATTTTAAAATTTGTCCCATGGCACCTGTTTCTCCGCCTGTCTCTGTTCTTGAGTGTCTGCTTCTTCCGCTAAAGCCCCAAGTAGGGGACGCCAGACCTGGAAGGGGTCTTGGGGCCTGCGGACCAGCGCCCTCACTCCGCAGCTGGGGCGATGCTCCCTCATGACAGGAAGGAACTCGTTTTAACTCAGCATGCCAGCAGAGCTGTGTGTCCAGGTTTATGTAGATCATCACCTTTGAACTGGAAAAGAAATTCCATGCTCTGCAGTGGGCCTTATTTTGATGGGAGGTGCTTTTACTGTTGATCTGGAAAAGGGCTGGCCACTTGGCAGGTGACGCCAGCTCAGTGGGTGGGTGTCCACCCTGCCAGTATAAGACTTTCCCGATATCACTCTCTTGGCAGAAGAATGTTGGGCAGCTCCCTGTTTGGGGGCCCCCCTCATGTGACAAGTGAGCAACGTCCCCTGGTCTGAAATGTCCTAGAGGCGACAGTGCTGACTTGGCCCTTTCGGGTGAGATATGGTTGGGTGAGATGTGTTTTGTTGTTAGATACTTTAAAAAAAAAAACTTCCCTCCTGGGAAGACACGTGTTCGTTATGGGTGATCCGGTTGTGTCATGGTCATTGTCGTGTCTGGACGAGAGGAAGGTGGACATTCACGCTCTGACCCTCCCCTTGGCCCCTCGTAGGTCTGTGACGAGGAATGGCATCACTATGTCCTCAACGTGGACATCCCCAGGGTGACCCTCTATGTGGACGGCGTTTCCCACGAGCCCTTCTCCGTGACCGAAGACCACCCACTTCACCCGTCCAGGACGGAGACTCAGCTCGTGGTCGGGGCTTGCTGGCAAGGTAACGGCCGCTGCGCCCTTGTCCCGCAGGCCTCGGGAGTCAGACAGCCTCTGCCATGCGGCGGACACGGGCCCCTCTCAGCGACCGTGCCCTCCTTTCCCTTGCCTTCTCGTCCCTCGCCCTGGGCGTAGCCTTCGTGGGGACGCCGCCCGTGCCATACTCCTGGGCGGCTCTGTTGACAGGCCCTCACTAAAGGTGCGTTAAAGGACCGAAGGGGACCGACCCCTTTCCTGGGACCCTGAGAGGGAGCATGTAATTGAGGAACTAATTTAGAAATTAATCTGTTTGTTGACAAGTTTATGAAAACAAGGAGGCAGCAGTCAGGCACGGAAACGGAAATGGAAATGTGCTTCGGCCTGGCAGACTCTTCCGGAGCGTGTAGCGCTCGATGACGTGGTGGCAACACCTTTAACAGGTGTTGCGTCTGGAGAGGATTCGTGGACATCTGTGCCGCAAGACCGGGGATGGCCTCAGGTGACGGCCACCAGAGCAACAGTGCCATTTATTTGTGCTTTCTTGGTGACAGACTGCGTGTCGATTCCTTTATGTAATTACCTCGTTGATGCTCATAAGTCTGTGAGGGAGAAGCTGTCTGTGTCCCAATCTTATAGCTGAAGACGCTGAGGCTCCGAGAGGTAGGCAGCCCGAGTTGCCCAGCTGGCTCATCGCGGCACTAGGATTTGAAACCCCCCGAAGCCCGTGTGCCCGGGGCCCAAGCTCGGACCACCGGACCGGGGGTCTTAACCTCTCCGTGGGGCTCTTTGCTGGTCTGGTGGAGCCTGTGGACCCCATCTCAGGATGATTTCTTACCAGTCTATAAAATAAAATACATAGGATTTCAAAGTTAACCAATTAAATTGAAATACGGTTATCAGAATACCAGCAGACTAAATGTGCTGGTTAGTAATACCTATGCTGCTTTATTAACAGATAAAAAACAGACTTTAGCAGCAGGTCCAGTAACCGCCATGATTTCGGAGTAAGAAGGGGCTTCGCGACGATTCTTGTGATGCCTGCACGATGTGATGTGACGAAATAGCAGCGATTTGTGTTGATAACAAAGTTGTCGTTTCTGCTAATATCGCTGTGGCTCGTGGGTGACTGTTCATAACCAAAGGGAAAACTCAGTACCAGAAGTTAGCGAAAATAAGCTTGTAATTTTCCCTGTCCAAGTTCAAGGACCCTCCACGTTCACGAGCCTCACATTAGTCCTTGCGCGTGACTCTGTGTTATGCCACTGCAAGGTGTCACTGTCACCACCTGTACCTGCTAAATAGGCCCTTTCCCCGCTCCCTACGGAAACATTGTACCGTGAGTTGGGTTAGAAATTTGTGAAAGAGGCCAGTTCCCAAGACAGCTTTGCTGCTTTGGGGAGAATTTGAATGTCATAATTTTCCTGCAGATCCTTGCAAATGAGAAGGAATAAGACAGTATTTTAGAGTGAACGTCTTCAGCGAATTCCTGGATTTAATTTTGGTGACAGTTCATCCATGAGGAAGTGGACCATGAGACCAAAGAATGAAGAATAAATTATTAGAGAGAGGAGAATTTTTTTAGTTGCTGTTTTTAAATTTTCAATTCAAATTTGCTCCCTGAGTTAAACAACAATTTCTGAGTAATTATTTAAAAAACAGAAACCCGAATACGCGTGCAAACCTAAATGTTACACTCTGGGTGATTTGTTCCTCGGCCGCAGTGAAGCCCCGCGTGCCACCGCCCTGCCTGCCTTGGTTCCTGTTCACTGTCACCGCATCTCTGCCACCGAAGTACTTTTCTCCTTATTTCATCTCTTTCGACCTCGGCCCTCTCAGCCTCCCCAGCCAGAAAAATCTGCCTAAATTCCCAGACCAAACACAAATTTGAAAACTTTAGTAAACAGGGAGGAAGACGTCCATTCTTGCTTTCAGTGGATTTGAAACCACTTTCCTTAAAATTCACCATGGAGAGCGTGGGCCGAAGTGAGTTAGAGGAACCGGAGGGGCCGTGCGCCCTGGGCCCGCCTGCCCCCACCCCAGTGCTTCCCGCAGCCTGTGCCTGGCGACCGCAGCAGAGCAGAGCGTGGCTCCCGCAGCCCGATCTGGAGAGTGGATGCTGCGCTCCGGGCCTGGGTGGGCCTCCCGGGCCTGCCCTTCGCTCAGCGCCTGGGTCGGGGGCTTGAGGAGCCCCAGGCCCCCGCTGGTGATCACCGGTTTCTCTGGGCAAGTTCCTTCACCTCTGCCCTCCCCTCCGGTTCAGAAAAAGTAGTTGAAAATGCCCTCTTTCCTCTGTCACTTGGAGGTTAAAGTCTGGACCGATGTGAACTTATTTTGAGCTTTCGAAAAAGACATCCTTTTGCAAGCTTACCCCATACCAGCCTTCGGACACTTCCGCGTGCCGACCCTTCATGTCTGCACAGTCGTCTTCCCTGTTAAGAAAGTGCTGTGGGGCCACGCGCGGATCGGTGTCACTTGTATCTGGCACTTCTCTGCGGTCAGTGTAAGCGCCGCCTCACAGTGGCCGGCCCAGCAGCGTGGTGCTTTTATTCATCTGGTTTCGAATCCACCCTATGCTTTGGCAAGGCGGGCGTGGGGTGGTGGCATAAAGGAAGCCTGCAGAGAAGATTCGGGGTGGTAAAATATCGCTTCCGGGAGAAGGCGGTCCAGGACAAGCTTGCTTCCCGGTGGAGTACGTGCCGTGCCCCGCCCCGAGGGGGATTTTTCTCCTTGCGGTTTGTTATTTGGCGGCTTTAGAAAACTTAATTTTTAACATCTAGTTCGAAGAGCCTAACCTGGAGGTCCTTTTCTGTTGTCTTTGTCTTGCTTTTTTTCTACAGAGTATTCAGGAGTTGAAAGTGACAACGAAACTGAGCCTGTGCCTGTGGCTTCTGCAGGTTGCTGGACTTTTCTCCCTACGGTTCACTATTGTTTGTGTTTCATTTAAAGACGACACATCGATTCATTCCACGTTTTGCATGAAACGCCCAGATTGCATTTTGGCCCCAGACTCCATTTGAGCTGCTGCTTGGCCTTTCCCGCCCCCCCCGGCCCCCCTTCTCCAGTGGCTTCGTGGTCTCTCCCTCCTCTCTGCCCGCTCTGATCCCAGTCGAAGTGACGGGCAGGTGACTCATTAATGCAATGCACTAATGGGATTTTTATTTTTCTCATCAGATTTTACCCTGATCCCACCATACGAGGCTCCCCACTGGAATCTCGTAGGCCAGGTTTGGGGGGTTCCTGATTCTCATGTGGCTGACCCACGAGGCAGGAAAAGATTTGTTTTTAGCTACTTGGTCCTGACCGAGACTAAATTTTAAATATACGTTTCTGAGAAATCCCAGTCCCCAGCGGTG